GTGTGTGTGTGTGTGTATGTGTGTGTGTGTGTATGTGTGTGTGTGTGTGTGTGTAGATAAGAGTCATGTGAGAAGGGCTGAAGAGCGTATGTTGGCCTCCCAGCAACCACCTCATCCCATTGAGAAGATTACAATCTCATTTGCAGAAAATGCGTAAGGCAGTGAGCTTTTTGGCTGGCCTGGCACCTGGCTGAGCACAGATGCAGGGATTCTTGTGAGGTCTGACTAGAGTCTCTCACCTTCTAGCTTGAAGGGAAGAACTGTGAGTAGGAAAAGTATTTGTGGTGCCATTGTCTTCGTGGTCCCTTGCTTTTGCAGTGCAAACATCAGCTTCAATTGTTTTCTTTGCAGGTATCTTGTTCAGCCAGGGATCCATTTGTGAAAAGGGTTAATGGAGTTAAAATTTGGTTATGCAATCTATAAAAGCCACTTAACTGGGCTCATGTGACCTGGAACACATCACAACAGATAAGGCTTATCAGTATTAATTGGAGGAAAATCATGCATATCTGGGGATGGTGAGGTAAAAGAATGATCAAATCAGGTCGGGGGCAGTGGCTCACAATGTAATCCTAGCAACAGGAGAGGCTGAGATCTAGAGGATTGTGCCTCTAGGAAGCCTTGGCTGAAACCTCATGGGACCTCATCTCTGCCAATAAAAACCTGAGCAGATGGGCATATGTTTACCATCCCAGTTATGCCAGAAACATATTTAGGAAGATCACAGTCCAGGTTGGCCTGGGCAAAAAGTATCAATGACCCTATTTGAAGAAAAAAATTAACAAAAGCAAAAAGGGCTAGAGATATGGTTTAAGTGATATGCCTAGAAAGCATAAGGCTCAGAGCTCAAACAAATACTAGTACTAAAAACATTAAATAAATTTTTTTATAAAAAGGATAGCAAAATCACACAGAGGAGAACTTGTTTGGTGGATTCTAATAGATCAGCTCAGATTCCTCTGCACTCTGTCTGCTCCTGGAACATTTAAACTATAAACTATACTTATTTAAGGGTTTCTGGTTGCAGTCTGGTGGTTTCCTATGTGTCAAAGAGCTGCTCTGTGTTCATCTGTCTTGATGAAAAATTATTTATAAAATTTGAAAAAATTATATTATGTATATATAATTACATAATAGACCTTCATCATGTGGGGAATCTTACAACCCATATTCCTGGCTGTTGGTTCACTAAGGTTGCTGTAATAAAGTACTATGCACTATGTGGCTTGCACAACAGGAATGGATGATGTCATAGCTTGGGAGGCTCTAGGTCCAAGCTCAAGGCAAAGGCAGGGTTGGTTCCTTCAGGACTGCCAGGGAAGGGTCTGTTCCAGGACTGTCGGCAGCATCTGGGGTTTTGCTGGCATTGTAAGCTGCTCTTTGGCTTGAGGAAGCATCGTCCTAATGTCTGCTCTGCCTTCACATGGCGTTCTCCCTGAATCCGTGCCGCTGTGTCCTAATTTCCCCCTTTTATAAGGACAGCAATTAGATTTGGTCCACTCCTCTCCATGTCACTTCACCTTAACCTAGTGCATTCCCCCTACAACTGAACTTCCAAATAAAGTCACATTGAGGTACTGTAGGTTAGGGTTTCCACATAGGAATTTTAGAAGGGACATAACTGTAGTGCTAGCCTGCACACTCAGGATCTGAGAGTGAGGCTGAGAACTGTGTGTGTGTGAGCATGTGTATGAGCACGTGCATGTGCACATAGGTGTCTATGTATGTGTATACTGTATAGCATGCTTATACAACAGTGCGATGAACACTTTCTTTCCTTGAAATACTCTAAAAAATTGTGGTGCTGAGTACTGGTGGCTCATGCCTATAAATTTAGCTACTCAGGAGGCTGAGATCTGAGTATCACAGTTCAAAGCCAGCCTGTGCCGGAAGTTCCATGAGATTCTTCTTTCCAAGTAAGCAGCAAAAAACCAAGAGTGGAGGTACGGCTCAAGTAATAGAGCACCATCCTTGAGTGAAAAAAGCTAAGAAAGAGGGCAAAACCCTGAGTTCAAATCCCAGTACTGGTACACGCACACATACACACAAATGGAGTAAGAAGTTACTAAGAGATCTCCCCCTAAACAAGTATACAATACAAGTCAAGGATATTGGCTAGGCAATAAGTTTACATCATGGATACAAGTCAAAACAGTGTCCATAACCCCTAATAGATGTATTTCCTAATGTACAGATGCACCTTACAGATACAGTAACACTCATTAATTACGACAAATACATGTAGACCAGGTTTTGAATAGCAAGACTATACAAATAACATTGTTCCCCCTGCCCCACACTAGTGATATTGATTACAAAGAGAAGAAATGGCCTAGCACTGGGGCTCATGCCTGTAATCCTAGCTACTCAGAAGGCTGAGACATGAGGCTTTTGGTTCAAAGCCAATTTGGGGCAAGAAAATCTGTGAGACTCTTATCTCCAATTAACTAGTAACAAACAAACATACAAAAAAATGAAAGTGGAGTTGTGGCTCAAGTGGTAGAGTGCCAGCCTGAGTTTAAGCCCCAGCAAAAAACAAAAACAAAACAACAACAAAAGAAAACAAAAAGAAGAAATACCAAAATGTTTTATGCTTAGTGTAAAAGGTTCAGATACAATGTATTTTGGATAAAAGCATTAGCTTGTCATTTCATGCATACAAGACTTCTGCAAATATTTGCTTAACATTTAAAGTTTAGACACAGCTCTGTATACTCTGAACACAGATATATAGGACACTAACTACACTAGCATTACTTAAAATATTAATAGTTTGACCACAGTTATAAGGTGACTAGTTAAACGACTTACATATAAAAAAGATATTTAAATGAACTATGATGTAGTTATAGCTCAGTTTTCTAAGTAGTCAAAAGCCTTTCTAAGTAGTCACAAGCAAGAAAGTACAAAAATATTTCAAGCCTTATTTTTTGTGAATGTTATTAAGAGCAGGAAAATATTAAGACAGTCTTGTTATAAATATAGAGAATTAGGTTTTTGTTTTGCTGCAGCAGTACATTAATGTGTGTGTGTGTGTGTGTGTGTGTGTGTGTGTGTGTGTGTGTGTATGAGACTCTTAGTTCCAATTAACTACCAAAAAGTCAGAAATGGTGACGTGGCTCAAAGTGGTAACACACTAACCTTGAATACAAAAGCACTGGAGCAGTGCCCAAGCCCTGAGTTCAAGCCTCAGGACCTGCCCAATAAATAAATAAATAAGAAAAAAAGATCTTAAAGATGTTTATATACACATACACATACATGTACAAAAAAGGTTTTACATCATGCAGGCCCAAATTGATGCACACATGAGCTCGAGAAAATGTAAAAATTTAATTTAGTGGCTACAGTTACTTATTTCTAGGAATTCCAGGAAGAGACTGATTTGTATCTAATTCTGTTATTTTAGGACTCATTTTGGTGGCTGAAACAAGAGTTGATCTTTTAACAGGACTATTGCTGCTGCCATCAGAATTTTTAGCCTCCATCAAGTTACTTATCACAGACACAAACTAACAGATATACACAAAATGACACACTAAAACAATTACTCTAATTCAAAGCACACTTTTAGACAATCCATTTTTCTTCTCCCCCTTTCTTCTAGTAGATTTGTCAGCTAGATTTCTCCCTAGGTGGAAAGACAGTGATTTTTTTTTCTTCTTAAGCAAATCACAACAGTGATCTCTAGCATGAACATAGGTTTCTCTGTACCTTCCATCCCTTCCCTAATAATTGCCATCACAAAGTTTTCAAATAAATCCAAATGCTTAGAAAAGCCTCCATGCAAAGGATCCAAATGTCCTTGTCAGACAAACAGCAAAGCCAAAGTTAAGTTCAGCAGATCTCAAAATGGCTCAGAAGAGTCTCCTGACAAGAGAAAGGAAAGGGGAGGCCTAACTGACATCAGTAAATGTCAGTGCTCCTTAAGTCCAGATGTTCATTCTTCTGCCTTATCAGATGATAGCAAAAAGTAGCCAATGCTGATTGAAATAGAAAGACAACAGAAAGTCCTTGGGATAAAAGTAACTCCAGTGGTTGTAGGGAACCTATTCCATCTTCTCTTATCTGGCCAGCGTTGCTGTCAGTGGCTCATGCCTAAAGGGCATATTTTCTTCAGACTGGCTTGGCAAAGCCGAAACAAGTTTTAGACTACAGGTCAAACTCCCGAGCTTTCACAGGTCATGTCTCCACAACTCTCCCTGTACACTAAATAGAGAGACATAGTAAAGGGTAAAAAGAGATTTATCATGTGGCCTGGACAACTGCAGGAAGACAGCATGTCAGACCATTTTCAGCTCTTCCAATAGTGTACTTTTAGCATGAAATTGCTGTGCTGATTATGGTATCCATGGGTCATTAAGTAACAACTAACAACTCTTATTTGCTGAGTATTATTTATAAGGCAGGGTGAAACTTTAATCCTTTCCTGCTTAATGCTCATGACAACCCTACTGAGAAAATATAATTATTATCCCACACTGTCTAAGATGAGAAATCTTAGGCTCTAGTTGATATGTAATTTGTCTACACTAAGGTTATTCTTTATTTTAAGTAGTGAAGTCAAGACTGAAGATCAGGTCTGTCTGACTTCTCCATCAATATGTTCTCATTGGTTCACTCTGGGGAGTGATTACAGATGTTTATTTTTATCCAGTTCTTTATACTACTTTTATTTCCCACATTTTCTTTACAAGCTTGAAGAAAATTTAATGACCATAGAAGTAATAACACAACTAAGCCATTGCAGTGTGTGTGTGTGGAAGGAGATGGATAGAACAGTGTCCAGCAAGGCTTCTCAACCTCAGTGCCCTGTCCCCATCAGACCTGGGCTCACAATCCAGCTCCTCCTCTAATATTTCGGTTGTCTCAAACCCAGAGCACAGGACTCATGGTAGATGAGAGAGGAGAGGTATAATCAAGACCCCTACAGACCTCCTCCTCCTTTTCCCCACCTTCAGGTCAACCCTTTCAGAGACCGCATCTGCAAAGTATTCTCCCACAACGATGTCTTCTCTTTTGAGGATGTGCTGGGTATGGCGTCTGTGTTCAGTGAGCAGGCCTGCCCCAGCCTGAAGATCGAGTACGCCTTCCGCATTTATGGTGCGTGTTGTGGGGAAGGGGGGATTGAGGGGAAAGACTGGAGAGGAGGGAAGGCCATAGACTAGCTACTGTGTCTGGACCCAGGAACATTACTTCACGGATGGATATTAACTGGTATTCCCTTGGGTCTTTTGTGGATGTGTATCAAATACTGTGAAATATCAAAAATGATTGAGAGAGGTGGTTGCCCATAACGTAGGCATGTCATTCTAGCTACTCAGGAGGCTAAGATGGGAGGATCATGATTCGAAGCCAGCCTGGGCAGAAAAGTCCATGAGACTCTTATCTCCAATCAACACTAGAAAACCGGAAGTGGCACTGTGGCTCAAGTGGTCTAGCCTTCAGCACCAAAGCTCAAAGACAGCACCAAGGTCTTGAGTTGAAGCCCCAATGAATAAAATGGAAAATATAGAACTGAAAAACAAAGCCCCTGGAATAAAAATTCACTGGATAGACTTAACAGGAGAATTGAGGTAACAGGAAAGAGGCAGTAAACTTGAAGACAGATCCCCACAATCTAGTCTGAATAACAGCTAGTACCGATACAAAGAGAATTAAAGATCCTAGAGTCTAAGGGGGCAATAGAAAGGTCTAACATATACCCAATGGTAATCTCAGAAGGAAAAGGCAGAGAAGATATTTGGAGAAGAAATATATACGTTGAAGAAACATGTATATTTCATCTTCAAATATGTTTTCAAAGAAATATCTGAGACTGAAGACATATCTGAATGGAGAAAAGATATCTGAAGAATTAATTGATGTAAGATACAAGCTTATAGTGAATTCTTAACAGAGAAAGAACAAATACAGTCACATCCCCAAATTCTGGTGGCAGTCCCCAGCTGTCCAGTAAAGCTGGCTCCTTCCTTCTCTCAGGTATTTCTGGGTATCCCTGAGGAGTTCCTGATGAATAGGAGGTCCTGTCCCCTCACTACTGCTGTTCCCTGTAAGCTTTGTCACCACAGGGGACAGCTGTGCTGGCTTAGGCACCTAACCCACTCTTCTGGATAGGACAGCTCAGGGCGTGTGTCTCAGCCCGAGAGTGTTCAGGATGAGGAAGAAAGAATATTCGTTTCCCACAGTTGTGTAGTTAGTCACCAAATATTTGTGATGTTACAGTGTTCCTGGGATAAAAGTCCAGGCCTGGCTTAGTTGGGTCACTCCTCTTCGAGTTTCCATAAACTGCAATCAAGGTGTGCTGGCTGGGTTGCCTTCTCAGCTAGAGAATGCCTGACTGCAGAAAGCTTTACCTAGAAGCTCCTTCAGGTTGTCAGCAGACTGCTGGCATTGTCCTATGTGACCCTAGGACTTTGGGCATAGAGTCTTGGCTAGCTATCAGAATTAAGGCTGATCTCAACTCCATGACCACATTCCCTGCTCCCGCCGCCCCCATCCAACACGGCCACTTGCTTCTTCAAAGACTGTGAGGGAAGTGTCTGTCCCTTGAGTCACTCTCCTGTCAGAACAGAGTCATGCACAACATAAGGTGACTGTGAAAATGGCATGCACTACATCTGTCCAGTTCTGTTGGTTAGAAGCAAGTTCCTATCCCCTCTCACACAAAAAAGGAGTAGAGGTAATACAAAGGTATCAACATCAAGAAGTGTCACTCAGGGGAGGACAGGGGACTCCCACTGGCAGCAGTATGGAAACCATGGAAAAAGTGAAGCCGGTCTCTCCACACAGCAGGGCCTGGAAAACAGCTAGAAAACAGCTGTCAGGAAGCCAGGCAGCAACTGTCTCTTCTTCATGGCTGCTTACACTCTCACCTCTGCTCCTCTCGGTGAACTCCTCAGATCTGCATTTTATGTCCTTTTGCCCATGGGCACAGATATGACTGCTGAGGTCCTCTGTAGCTTCCACTGACTGGCTAGCCACAAACATCTGTTTCTTCTAATTCTCAGCAGGTGTTGATTAGCTTAGCCAAACCAATGCGCTACTGCTGTGGGTTGGGTGAGCAGCCTTGCTCAATTACATCCAGCCAGAAAAGAAGCAGTCACATGAACAAACATGGTGGCAGGGGCTACGCTCTTGGGGGTAGAGATGCTTTCCAGAGATAGTCAAGTATGGACTGTGCAGATATCTCAAAAGATGGCTGCTATGCTATTTTCCCCTGGTTTCCAGAACCGAACAAACATTAATCCCCGAATCCCTCATGGGGGTAGAAGAACAGCAGGTGTGTCTGGGCTGCCAGGTAGCAGGGCTCTAAAATGGTAAGAATGCCCTAATTCTGATAGATCAGACTGAGTGCCTGGGCTCAAGTCACCATTTCATTCCCCGGGGTCCAGGTGTCTTCCTTCACCCCTCTGGAAGGCCCCTGGAGCACACATGATTTCCTTCCCCTTAAAGTCCAGCTATGCAGATGGATGCCCAGGGACTTACAATCCCAGCTGCATCACATGTGCCCAGGCTATCTGCATTTCCTTTGGGCTTGGAAGGATCTGTGTCCTCACACAGTTCAATTAGAAGAGAAATGCAGGATCCCTGTGCCTAAGTGTCTGGCACATGGAGCTGCTCACTAAGTCCAGGGAGCAGCAGTCCACAATGAAAAAAGAGAAACAATCAAAAGAAGGGAGAGGAGGAAGACAGCAAGGTGTCATAGTAACAATGACGGAGACATGTCTGAGCTAACGGCCCAAACAGTAACTCCATACTCTCAGCTCTGGTGACTCTAGATGTGGTCCTTGACCATGAGTGTCAGACCCTCCAGGATGCTTTTAATGTGGACCTAAAGGTCCCACACACCCCTTCTGAATCAGCAACCCACCTGCACTTTGCAAACTCCTCCAAGGTTCCTCTTAGCCTTCAGACTCTCAAACTTTTTTTCTTTTTTTGTTGGTCGTGGGGTTTGAACTCTGGGTCTGGGCGCTGTCCCTGACAAGGTTCTGCCACTTGAGCCACAGCACCACTTCCAGTTTTCTGGTGGTTAATCGGAGATAAGCGTCTCATGGACTTTCCTGCCCAGGCTGCCTTTGACTTCAATCCTCAGATCTCAGCCTCCCAGGTAACTAGGATTACAGGCGTCCAGCCCTCAAACTTTTTATACACGTCAGATCTGGTAGTTAACCTGGGAGTTAAACAAAACAAATGAAGATCGCGGGTACTGGGGCCCAAGCTCTAGAGACTTGATAAAATAGTACTGGGTAGATCTTGTTTGTTCGGCTTTTTCCAAGCTTGCTTTGTATTTGTTGTGTGCAACAGAGTTTGAGAGCCATTGCTTTAGCCCATGACCTTAAATAAGAATGCATTGTTATGTGTCCCTTGTTTTGTGTTTTAAGTCAGGGATCAGACTGCCTGAGCTAGATCAATGGCTCCTTGATCAATAGAAGTAACCAAAGGTTTGAGTCCTTCAGGCTTCCTACACTGTCAGTGACCTCATGACCACAAATGGCTTGTGTCCACAGACATTTTATCTTCATTCAAGGCAGGAAGAGAAGGGAATAGGTGAAGGAAATTTGTTCCTCCAAAGGCACAAACTAGCTCTCCTTTCCCAAGATTTCTCGGATCTCTACTCAGCAACTCTGGTTTATATTTGACTGGCCAGACAATATCATGTGGCCATCTCCAGCTATAAGGAAGACTCAGAAGCTATGCATTTTAATCTGAACACAGTGTCATGCTGAACAAGAATAGCTGTTGGCCAAGAATCCAGTAAGACTAGCCACACCTCTGTGGAACTCCAGGTTCTGCTGTGAGGGACATTCTGGTCTCCAGCTAAGCCCTACCCTGTCTCTCACCTATCAGAGACCAAATCCAAGCCATCTTCCCACTCCCTCAGCACAGCCCCCACCTCTTCCTGAGTCTCCTCAGCACCCATGGCAGGCCTTACTAAATCTTCCCAACACTAGACTTAGCCAAGGATACTAGGTGGATAACAGTGCTTGGTAAATTACAAGGCTTAAGAATGGCAGAGATTTGATGGCTGAGTCCAATCTGTCCCAGCTCCCTAAACAGGGGAAACAGCCAGGCACTAGTGGCTCATGGCTGTAATCCTAGCTATTCGGTAGGCTGAGAGCTGGGGATCATGGTTTGAAGCCAACCCACGGAAGGACAATCTGTGAGGCACTTCTCTCCAATTAGCCATCAAAAAGGTGGAGCTGTGGCTCAAGTGGTAGAGCACTAGCCTTGAATGGGGGGGAAAAAAGCTAAGAGACAGTGCCCAGGCCCTGAGTTCAAGCCCCAGTATGGGCATGTGCAAACAAAACCTGGAGAAAGAGCAAGAGAATTCATCTCCACTGTGGGTCTGCCGTTCCCAGGCTGGGGTGGCATGGGCTGGGCCAGTGGCCTTTCCCAGGCTGCTCTGCCCCCACCACCCCCAAAAGGAGAGGAAGTATCCAGGACTGCATTTACTCTAGCAAATGAGTCTGCTTCCAGATGGCTTAGGACCAAAGCCATGTCATTTGCTGCAGTCTCTGCCTGTGGGAGCCGGGCCAGCAGGATGTCTGGGGACACTGCGGGGTCTTCTGGAGATACTGCAGAGCTTCTCAGCAGCAGCATGGTATCATTGCGGCTGCCCAGTGCCCCGGGCTCCTCGACCCTTTTTACCTGTTCCAGGCTTCTGGTGTGGTGGCAGAACTGGGCAGGAGAGCGCTCAGAAGCATCCTCGCTCAGGGGCAGGAGATCCACATGGGGAAAGGAGCCATGGGCTGGGCTGTACCTTTCCACACCCACATCCTGCCCTTGGAAAGAGACAGGTCTTGGCAAGGACCTTGTGGCAGCAGCAAACTCTAGGCCTCAGTTTCCCTCAGAGCCCAATACAGTTCTTCTTTCCATTCTGCAAGGGGGATGTTACAGGTCCCTAAGGTTTGTATGTTTAGGACTTAATAAACTTCAAAAGATGAGTCCACACCATGTTTAATAAACATCTACTGTATTGAGCATCGGTATTCCAGATGATGGCCAAGTATTTTCCTATTTAACCTTTCCTATTTAACAATCATTTCCATTTTAAAGATGGAGAAACTGAGGCTCAGATAATGAAGTAGGATTAACTATGGCAGTCAAATGACAGGCAAGACAGCTTGTGAGATGGATGGAAGCTAATATATTTATTTTTGGAAGTGAATGTATTTATTTCTCTAATATGTAGAAGGCCAGAAACAGTTTTCTACAGTGACTCTGAAGCTGCACAGCATTGACGATTCAAGTTCCTCCTACTTACTGCTTTGTCCTCTAGTCCCAAGGTCACCTCATTGTTCCTGCTTTTTTTTACTTTCCCAGAAGTTATCTGCTCTTCTTACCTCTTACTGGTCAGAACTTAGTTACATGACCACATTTAGCAACAGGGCAGTCTGGGAAATGTAGCATGTGTTTTGAACTGCCCCTTTAAAAAGGTAAAAGGCAGTTATGGGTAGTAAAGAGTATAGGCTTCCTATAGAGTTTGACTGCCTGGATTTAGCTCTGTCTCCATCATGTGCTGAAGTGTGATGTTGGATATTCATTGAGAGTCTCTCTGTTCAGGGCTAGGGACCAGAGGCTGGAGGGACCCTTGCTTCCTGCCTCTGACTCTTTTGAAGGCACAGCCAGGTCTTCAGTGGTACCCTCCTCTTCTGAGGCACAGGCTGCAAAGACTACTGTCCCCGCCTCTCTGAGGAGCTGGGGAGGCATGTGCACAGGTCAGTCATGCAGCTGCTGCACGGAGTCAGGAGCAGGGACTGGTGGCCAGGGCTTCTGGCTCCAAATCCAGGCTGCCTTCCACTTCCCCATGTGGCCAGGCTCCTGGCTATCTAAAGATACCATGACTTCTGAGTTTTGAGATGGAGATTTCCATAACACAATGGTTGACATGGTTCTCTGGGGTCAGCTTAGCTGGGTTTGGATCCCTGCCCTTTCCACCCCTGGGCAGTGTGGAAATAACACTTCTGAGCCTCAGATTCCTCCCAAAAAGGCTAGGGTTGATTGTGAAGACTCACTGACGTAAACAAGGTAAAGTGGTGAGGACAGGGAGCTGTCCTTAGGCCATGTATATGATTGTTATTTTTGCCGCATTAGCCCCGTATTTGTCTGTAGCCTGCCGTGCTGCAGGTCCTGTTCAGACTCGCAAAGGCTGGTGGAGATTTGCACTGTGGACCCCAAACTCGTCAGACCCTAACTCCTTCACTCTAAGTCCTGTCTCCTCTTTGCAGATTTCAATGAGAATGGCTTCATTGATGAGGAGGACCTGCAGAAGATCGTGCTCCGACTGCTGGACAATGATGATGTGTCTGAGGACCTCATGATGGACCTCATACACCACGTGTGAACATGGGGCTCAAGAGGGGACCCGGGGGTCATCACCCAAGGCCCCTGGACGTCAGGTCACCTTGGGCCAGGACTGGAGCAGATGACATATTTGTCTTTGGGCTCCATGGTTCCCAGCAGTTACCATGGGGATGGGCCCCAAAAGAGGGTACAGAATTGGAAGCAAATAACCCTCAACCCTCCTGTTCTTCTAGGAACCTTCCAGGGTCTCCAGAGCAGTGTACCCAATCCATCCATCTGGGGCCTCCCATCCACAGTGGGGCGCTGCAGAATAAGGTCCTTAGCCGCTTAGGGATGCCTCACAATGTTGCTACCCACACACATCCCATGTTACCCTGATGTCCTAGAGTGATCAGGCATGGAAACAGCCCTGAAACCAATGATGAGGCTCAACCACATATGTTCTAGAGCCTGAAAACCTCCAGAGGTTTCTGGGTAGGAAGAAATGGGAACGAGAGAGAGAGAGACAGAGAGACAGAGAGAGATTGGAATGCCATTGGAACAGGAAGCTCAGTGCTGCCTCCTGCCTGCCCTTTGTCCCTTGCAGTACAAAATGCCTGTCTGGGACTGTGTAATGGGACAGGCAGAGGGACCACCTTCACTGCTACATTGGTGCTAGAGCCCCTAAGGACAATCCTTCCAGGCATACGGATCAGCTCACCAGGCCCCTGACCTTAGCATACATTCTCATCTCTCTGATGTCTGTGCGGGGCGGGGAGTCCACAGGTGCCCCCAAGAGACAAGTGTTTGGCATCTGGCAGAGATCCTGGCATCTGGCAGCCCCTCTGTAGAAGAGTACCCCATTCTCATCATCTGACACCAGTCTCCTATCCCCCGGTCAGGTCCTGAGGGAGTCAGATCTGGACAACGACAACATGCTCTCCTTCTCAGAGTTTGAACACGCAATGGCCAAGTCTCCAGATTTCATGACGTAAGGAGTTCTGGAGGGGTAGGGAGGAAAAGGGGTGCCCCAGTTTCCCTCCCCTTGGCCAACAGAGCATCTGTGTCTTCCCAAGAAAGTTGCGAGTTTCTAGCACAGCGCACTTTGCCAGTTCTTCTAGAATCAGCAAAACTGGAGTTGCTGAGAAATTAGGTAACCCTGGGAAATGAAAAGACAGAGAGGCAAACAGGATTCCCAGGCTTTTGGATAATACAACCTCAAGAGCGTGGCCTTCAGTGGCCCAGACACTGGGAGCTGGGGGTCTGCATGGAAGGTGCAGGTGCAGGAGCTCAGAGAAGATGCAAAATGTAACAAGAAAAGCAAACCATCCGACCTTAATGGAGAAGGGGCCTTGATGGGCCTCCCTGGTCCAGTCACCCTGAGATGACAGATCCCTTCTGTATTTCCCCAGCCCTGTATACCAGTCTTCTCTGGATCCTTCCAGCAATAGGAAATGCATTCCCTCTAGAGGTGGCCCTTGTGGTGATTACATGGCCCTTGTGCTGAGCTGGCACCTGTGGACATGTGTCTTCTCTGTCCGTCGCGTTCTGCCCCATGGTCTCACAGGCTAGGCGAGGAAACATGCCAACCCATAGAAGAGTCTTTCTCTGCGTCTCTGGCCCCCTCAGGCCAACGTCTCTGCTTCTCTCCTCACTCCTTCCCCACTTAGCTTCACACTGCCAACTAGGGATCCCTGCTTGGTCAGACAGGAAGCCATCGTAGCCTCCCTCCAAGTTATTCTCAATTTGATTCTGAATATCCCTCAGTGACTCTAAGTAATGTTCTAGCTCTGACAGATGCACACTCTTTCTAGCTACTTGGAGATGAGGGCTCCCATCCTAACATCACTGCCAGGGGGCTGTGGCTTGATGGTCTCCAGAGGACCCACACTTGGGACCACCCCAATCAAAGGTAATTCTTTCTTTCAGCTCCTTTCGGATTCACTTCTGGGGATGCTGATACGAAGAGGGATGCCACTGGAACAGCGCCACCACCAGGCACCCAAAGCATCTGACTTGGAGCACGACTTTTCCCTGTCCCTTCTCCTTTAAAATACCGTTTACTAAAAGAAAGCACAGGAAAAGCATTTTCCCTGTCAGTCCGCTGCTGCTGCTGCTTTTCTCTTTTAAAGTAAGGACTGTGTTAATAGCTGCTTATTCCAAGGCTTAAGTTTGCCAACAACTCCAAGCTAGCTGGGACAGCAATCTTTGAGGACAGAGTTCAAATCTCAATGCATGTCAAGAACAGGACACCAGGCCAAATGGGACAAAGTTCACTAGGAAAAGCTTTCATCCTTCATCTTTTCTGGAACCCCACCCCTTCCTCCTATCTCCAGGGCCAGAGGGCACCGAGCTGTGCACATAGCTGTCATTCTAGCTGGCGCCTGGCTTCCCTGCCCTCCCCCATGGAGAAGACATCTTGGCCCCACTCTGCCCCTCTCTCAGACCCTCGGGATGAGACCACAAGTCACTGACAATTGGGGCTTATTTGCTTTGCTATGCAGCCACACTCTGGAATGCATTTGCCTACTCTGGAGACCGTTTGGGGTCCAACACATCAGGGACTCTGGGACACAGGAGGTGCCCCTCAGAGGAACTTCTGGGGGCTGTCCACTAGAGGGCATGTTGCCGGCTGTGGACAAAGGGAGTACCCTTGATCCAAGAAAGGGGGCGCTGGAATTTTGGGGAGGGCACGGGAACAATGTGGAGTGGGGTCCCACCCTAGAGAGGTGGTTGCTTACGACATTCCTCCCTGCCCTTCCAGAAGATAAGGTCGGCACAGGATTAGCCTGGGAGAGCAGCTGGAACCTCTGGACCCTTCCAGGCCATGTAGCCTTTGGCACCCACTCCCTTGTCTACCTCTGGCCTGGAGTAGATCTTCAGAACCTGAAGTAGATCTTCATGGAAACTTCTAGAAATGGCCAGGGGTAGAGGCCAAGTCAGCCTGTCCCTGCCAGTTTGGCCAAATGCAGAAGTAGCTGTTTCATTCAACTCGCGGCTTCTCCCTGCTCTGCAGTCTCGAGGGTTCCAAAGGCTGATGCTCCATCTCCATGTGGGCCACAGCAGGGTGTGTAGTGGAAAAAGCAGGGCTTGGCAATCCAGCAGACCTAGATGCACTTCCTACAGTGTGGCTTAAAGCAGCTCCGCATCTTCATCAGGGAAGGGGGGTCAAGGTGTCCCTTACACACTGCCATGTAAAGCAGATGACACTCAGTGAGCAGTCCTGCTCCCAGCTGGCGAGGCTGTTCTGGACCACACCCCTCCTTTTCAGACAAGGAGCAGTCAATAATCCCGGTGGAAACAGGAGCTCTCCGAACCTTAGTGACCTGCCACTCAGGAAGACTTGGGAACCGCATCTGTCTTGGCCTTACCTGTTCTACCCCGGGCGGGGGGGGGGGCGGGGGGGAGGGCAGGTCTGTGGCCCAGAGGGATTGGCTGCTGCTGCTCCTGGCCTGACTTCTTGGGCTGAGCTTTGCAGGGGCTCTGAAGGTATAATGCTGACTGACCCTTGGGAACTTTCCTGCCATAGTGACAAGTTTCCAGGACCCAGAGGAGAGGTGCAGGGGTGGTCATGGCTAAAGATTTTATTGTAAGCACGCCAACCTGGTGGGAGCCGAGACTGTCAGTCTTCAGGCACCTGGACTCACGCTCTGAACTCAAAGTAGCAGTCCCTCCTCTGGCGCTCCTGCGGGGACACCCTCTTCCCCGATGGAAAGATCTGGTAGGTCTTTAGGTTGTCAGGGGAGACTCTAAAGAGGTGCCACTTATTCATCGGGCTCAGGGGAGGCCTGGAGGGGAGATAGAGCAACTGTCAGGCAGTGTGCCAGGAAGGGAGAGTGAAGGACACTCATTACAGCCCCACGCACCAACTCCCAGCCCTGCTGGCCCCAGCTCACACATCAATGTGGCATCTGCTAAATTACCCTGACTTGAGGGGAAAGTGATTTGTATTTGCACAGGGTCCTGTGGCTTATAGTGAAGACACGGATGTCAGACATGTGGCATGGATTCTGGCCCCATCTCCTGCTAAAGTGAACCCATATAGACATGGGTTGCTGTCGTCATCTCTGCTCTGAAGAGTAAATGAGATTATGCATATGAAACATTTAACACAAAGCTGGACAAGGAGGATACTCAAGTATTATAAGAGATGCTGGTGATGCTGGTGCTGGTGGTGCTAGTGGGGAGGATGATGGTGATGTTAAGGGTGATGAGTGATGGTAGCAGTGATAGTGGTGGTGATGATCATGGTGGTGATAATGATGATGGTATTGATGGTGGTGATGGTAGTAGTGGTGATGGTGGTAATGATATTAGTGATGGTGGTGGTGATGGTGGTATTGATGGTGTTGGTGGTGGTGATCGTGTTGGTGCAGATGATCACAGTAATGATGGTGATGGGGTTAATGATGATAGTGATGGTGGTAATGATGTTAGTGGTGGTGATCATGATGGTGATGATGGTGATGGTAGTTGTAATGCTATTGGCAATTGTGAAATGGTAGTGGTAATGATGAGAGTGATGGTGATGATGGTGGAAATGGTGGTGACAATGATGATGGTGGTGGTAATGATGATGGTGATGAAGATGGTTATGACAGTGATGATGATGGTGGTGATAGTGGTAACGGTGATGATGATGATGGTAGTAATGATGATGGTGGCGGTGGTAATGATATTGATGGTGGTAATGATGTCAGTGGTGGTGATGATGATGGTGATGGTGGTGATAGTGGTAATGGTGATGACGATGATGACGACGACAATGATGATGATGATGATAGTGATGGTGGTAATGATGTCAGTGGTAGTGATGATGGTAATGATATTGGCAATGATGCTGATGGTGGTAATGGTGACAATGATGATGGTGGTGGTAATGATGATAGTGATGGTAGTGATAATGCCAGTGGTGGTGATGGTGGTGGTGATGATGTTGGCAGTTGCGGTGATATGCTAATGGTGACGGTGATGATGATGGTGGTAATGGTGATAGTGATGGTGGTAATGGTGGCAATGATGACAGTGATGGTGGTAATGAAGCTAGTGATGTGACAATGATGTCAGTGGTGGTGGTGATGGTGATGGTGGTGTGATGGAACTACAGAAGGGGAGACTTTCCCCAGGTCACAGAGCTGCCTTCTCTCTGTCCCTGACTACATTACCTAGTTGATGCTCTGTATCAGGTATGAAACTAGGAACGGCTCAGACTGCCATGCAGCTTAGAGAAGGAAGAGAGGTAGAGACTTGCAGATTCAGGTCTCAGGAAGACATCTGTCCTGGGAGAGTCTCTGTCTCCAGGGACCCGCTGGCTCACAGCTACCCCACACGGTGGAGATGACCAGACAGTGGTTTCAGTTGGCCACAGGAGACAGGGGTCCTTTCCAAGCCCAGTCTCCAATCACAGAGTTACTCAGCATAAGCTCCTGAGGCCATTACTGAACCTCAGTTTTCCTGTTCATGAAACAGATCCGTTTGTCATGCAGAGTGACTTCTAGAGGCAACAGAGCTATGTCTGTAATCTATTGAGCTGAGTGGGAAGAGCTGCTGCTTTGCTTGCAACAGGCTGGTGAGGACGGGGATCCTGAGGCAGGCAGGGGTCAGCAAGGGTTGGAAACCCCAAATCTTTCCACTGACTTGCTGCTGTCCCTTCCTGGGACCGAGAGAGGAAGTAGTAGGGGTGGAATGAGGAATAAGTTGGGAACTTGCTGATCCTCCAGCTTAGGCACCACCTACACCAGCCACAAGATACTTTGGGGTAGACTTGAGGTGATGCTGATGATGCTAATGGGGATGACATTGCTTGGATCTTCTTGTGGGGCAGAGCAAGCCTTCCCTGGGGAAATAAGCTCTCCCGGATTCCCCCAGCTGTGAGAGGTGGGCTGCAGGGAACTTTCATGTTTTATCTTCTTGCACTTTTATGTTTTATCTAGTTACACTTTTCAAGATATTCCCAAGGCACTAGTGAGGGAATGGTTCCAAGCCCCTCTCAGATGGTTCAATCTGGGTGGGGCTGGAAACAAGACTCCTTGCTCAGTGTAGCGCCCACATTATCCACTAGTGGGCAGCAACTCCTTGTGCAGCGAGGGTTATATGAGCTGCGCTTCCCAATTCCCAGCACACGTGGTGGGGAAATCACTTCTGGCAAATCACCTTCCTCCTCTGGGGCTGCCAGAACTCAGCCCTTCATGCTTTGTAACTGTCACTTTACGCTGCAAGCAGGGTTGCTAACTGGTTTCTCAGTCTGGGTGCTCTGTAGGCTCTGGCAAGAGCAGGTACCCAAGGGATACCCATTTGTTGACTACATGGATGGAGAGAGGGAAGGCACTCACAGGTCATTGGGGATGGGGTATCTATCTCGCTCCTTCACAGGCAGCACGAAGTAGGGGACCAGAGGCACTGTGCCAGTCTTGTCTCGGTAGTAATTCCGGTGCTGTTGTGCAATCTATAGCTCGACCCAGGAAGAGATGACAGGTTGTTAGTGGATAGTCTATGCCTGGCTGAACCTTATGTATGGATAGGCCATCTTCCCTGAAGGAGTCTGCAGTTTCTCAACTGCTAACCAGTATAGCTAATGACCCCTCCCCGCAATGCCCACACCCACCTCCCAGCCTTGCTACCAGGAGTGAGATGGAAAGCAGCTAAGCCAAATCTGCTACCCCAGCTCAGCAGATACACACAGGGCTCTCTGCTCCTCAGAGTCAGCGGGCTGTCTCACCCTGCCCTTGAGGAAGCCGCCTGACTCAGTAAGTCCCTTGCCCTGGCATCAAGCAGTACCTAGGCGCTGAAAGATGAGGACTCAGGCCCAGGGCCCATGAGTTTCTCATGCCTGTAATTGTAGCTACGACCTGAGGATCATGGTTCAAAGCTAGCTCAGGCAGGCAAGTCTTGAGACTCTTAATCTCTAATTAACCAGCAAAGAGCCAGAAGGGGAGGTCATGGCTCGAGTGGTAGGTGCTAGCCTTGAGTGAAAAAGCCAAGTGAGAGTTGAGGTCCTGAGTTAAAGCTGGAACACACACACACACACACACACACACACACGCGCGCGCGCGCATACACCCACACATTCCAGCAGCATAGCAGGGGAAAAGCTCTCGTCCTCAGCAAGGAAACAAGGCCGGGTCGGTCTCTGTGGACCAGGAAACAGGTCCCTGGATCTCTGTGGTGCACTGGGGATGTTTTGCAACAGACCCTCTGCCCCCCCACCCAACACCCCTCAGTTCCTAGCCAGGAGTCTAGTAGAGTCTAAGTGAGTCTGACCTAGGACATGCCCTCAGGGGACCTGGAGATGGGGAAGCTCAGCAGACTGGGGATCCTGGTGGGCATACCTATAGGCTGGCTTCTAGGCAGGGAGCTTTAGTGGGGCCTGTGCTCACCTATGTGAATATTTGGCCTTTTACTAAGGTAGGAGATGGCGGGGGTCCACAGAGCCAAGAAGCTTTAGGTTGGAAGGGCTCAGAAGGTGAGAGCCGAGCATGACTGAACACCCGCAGCTCTTCCAGCTGTGGGAATGGGCAGGGACAGGGTCACAGAAGCCCCTGGGGTTGGGGGGAGGTGAGGGAAGCAGAGTCCAGAGCCCTTCCCTTTGCCAGCCAAACTCTCAGGTTTCTTGCTGGAGTGGATCTGCTGGAGGGGCGAGGCAGGGTCTCCCTTGGTCCCATCACTCTCCGGGCTCAGGGCAGGGGCCCAGGGCTGGGAGGAGGGGGTAAGAGGCAGCTCACCTGGTAGAAGTGAGACAGCGCGGCGGAGCGTTCGCTGTCCAGGTTGAAGCGGGTAGAGGCGGGCACGTTTTGCAAGCGCTCCCAGGTGCTGGTGCGGCTGAGCAGTGTGTCGGCGGCGGGTTCGGGGGAATAGATGGTGGGGAAGCAGCCCCCTTTGCTGAGGGCCGCCGGGCCCTTCATGGCTGCATTGCGGTGATCCTGGAAGTACTGGAGGGTGGTGCTGCCATACGGGGAGCCAAAGGAGAAGGCCACACTGGGGATGTGGCCTTGGTACCTGCGGTGGCATTGGGGAAGAGAAGATACAGCTCTGTGAATGGTGGGCTGACCTCTAGTGCATGGGGCTGCACAGCTCTCTGGAGAAAGGCCGGGTGCCTCCTCTTTCATCCCTGCCTGGATGGTCATCTTCTGTAGGCAAATCACTGTCCCTTACTGGGCCTCCATTTACTTGAGGGTTGGCCTTAAGCTAGGGGACCTCCTTCACCTCTGGCTTTCTGTGCCCATCTCATTAGAGAGCAAAGAGAATAGACATTGGTGGAGCCCTTAGGGTCAAATGTCATGAGAGTTAGATTTGTCATAAGCCCAGGCCTAGATTCTGATGGTGCCACTTTGTTCCCAACACACCAGTCTTATGAGGTGCGAGGCAGATAGATGGTCTGGAGGATCTGGATTGCTGAGAGCTCTTTAGCAGCTTGGTCACCCTCCACCATCAGGGAAGCTGAATAGGAAGAATAGGAGATGCAGAAGCAGAGTCCCTGGGTTAGAGGAGGCTCATGGCATCCCACTGTGGGCGTCTGACATGGGGTAGATGCCAAAGAGAACAGAGCTTCCCTAACCAGCACAGCCCTCAGACTCGCCCTCCACCAACTGACTCACCGCCACAGTGGCCTGCTGCTCATAATCATACAGGCCTTCCTGCGGCTCTGGGCACTGCTGGCCTTGCCTGGAAGTGTTAACTCCTGATTAGCTTTAGCTTCCTCCCACCTGCCTCTTTGGTGGTTCCTTCTTGATCTTCCTCCTCTACCCATCTGAAGTACTGGGGTCCCTTCAAGGTCTGTCCTGGTCATGGCACCCAGCTGGCAGCCTTAGCCATCACCTGATAGGCATCTCAGGTCTGGAGCTCTCTTCAAGCTTAGACACACTAGGCCCCTTCCATGGATGCACCTAGAGCGTGAATCCCCTCCTCCCCCATACATACACACACATCTTCCCCACAGCCTGAGCCTCTCTGCTTCCCCCTCCAGTCAAAACACGGCATCCATCTCCCTCACAGCCAGTCAGTCACCGAGTCCTATACCTCGACTTGTATCATCAGAGCTTGGCCATGTCTCCTTCCTTGGGACTCTGGCCTGGCAACCACTCTGTTCTCCCAAATGCACTCCCACACTTCTCCAATCCATTTCCATGCTTCTACCAGGCCAAACTGTGCAGTTGAAGCCTTAGCATTCTGACCCTTGGCCACCTGCCTCCCCAGCCTCCTGGCAGCCTTGCACCCGTAGGCCTTCACAGGTCAGTATGTGAAATAGTTCATCAGCTCTCCCTCCCCCCCACCCTCTGACTCTTCCCTCTCCTGGGGTCTCATCCTGTGTCTTCTGCCATTGGGATGTCGACCATATCTGCTCCCACACCTCTAATTCCTACTCTTTGCTTTCAAGAGTTTAAGATTTGTCCATAGATCATTTCTTTTAAAAACATCACCCCCTCTCCTAGGTCTGAGTGGGACATCTGTTCCCCTTGCCCCTTAAAGTGTCCTCCATTAGCTATTTCTCTCTGTCCTCTTCTGAGCTTCTTAAAGGCAGAACTTGATTATGTTTTCCCCAGCTTTATCTCCCCACTTCTTAGTGCTGAATCTAGCACATGGGAGGGAGGAAATTGCTTTTTAAACATGTGAAAAGATGAGCAGGTGACAGGCCTACAATACCCATGCTGTTTACAGCTGGACTGTACACATGAACAGCAAAGACCTGTGGCCAGCTCCAGGGATGTGCAGCTTTGGCACTCCTGTCCACATGCCAGGACACTGGGTTTCCAGTGAAGCCCGTGGCATGCTGGGAGCTGCCAGGCCCATGAAGCAACATCTATCCCTACCTGCCAAGTCCGCAATCTCACAGAGGCTTGGAGGTCTGGGCTTCGAAGCCTCTGTGGCCACCTCAGCTTCCGCCCCCTGGCTGCTTGGATGAGGATTGATCCACAGTTAGGTAGCATTGTTTTATTTCCTTCTTGTATCTTCAGGAACAAGGCAAGACATCAACACAGAGTGACTGTGACAGACCTTCCAGCTGCTTTCCACCACGGTTCCTGGTTGCTGCCACCCCCACCAGATTCCTCATGAGATCTAGCCTAAGCCAGAGCATAAACCAGCAGCCACAGCACAGGCTGCACAGGAGGACTCCAGCCTCGGCCTGGAAGGTCTCTCGTAGCCTCTTTGCTCACAATCAGTGACTTCCCATGGTGCACCACCTTAGATATCATGGCCCCGGTGGTCCTGAAGCTTTCCCACCCACCCTGAGTCTTTCCTGAGCTCCCCACTGACCGATAGGGCCTGGGGAGTCCTGTTGCCCTCTCCCATGAGCCTGTGCAGCCCGCTTGGCCCCTTCCAGGAGGCACTGTCCTCCTCTCTGGGGGCCTGGCTTGCCCTTCCTCCTCGATCTGGAGCCCACCTATCCTGCTCATTGGAGGCCTTGCCCCCTGCCAGCAAATCTCTCCATGTTCCTCTCTGCCTCCATCCTTCCCCTCTGCCATCTTGAATGTCTCCTCTTTCTCGACACAGGTGAGCCTTTTCTAGATCCTAAACTCCCAGAAGGCCTTCTGTTGTCTCATATGACATTTCCTCTTCCTTTATTTCCCAGTCTCTCCAAGGAATGCTGTGGGCCTATTGCCTTTGTTTCTTCAACCCCATTAAGCTGACTTAGGACCCACCATTTAAAGGTAAACCGCTAGTTTTACATTAAGATCATGTAAGGTCACCCAATGTCTTTGGCCCTCTACAATATTCCCACCAATGAAGAAACCCACGTGGAAGGAAGCATAAGTAGAGCTCCTGTTAGTAATTCATGCTATGCATTAGATTCCCCCGAACTAGACTTAAGAAATTGAGAAGTCACAGACAAGGGGGAAAGGTAGGAATGGTTCCTTCTGTCCCATGGCCTGCTATGGAAGGAGCTCCATCCGCCCTGGCTCTTGTACATGGAGGAGAAGGACGATGGAGTGGTGGATTGAAGGGGAAAGTTGAATCAGGGGAGCTCACTCTCTCTCCTACTTTTCCATGGAAGCAAGCAGGTGTTGCCGCCCCATGGCAGAAGTTCTAATGGGTAGACTCCAGCCCACATGAAATTCTACGGTTCAGTCTATCACTCATCCATTCTCTGATAGCCACTCTCACTCATTTCTCAGTTCAGAATGTAGGGATGATGGGAGAAATACAAAGAAGATAAAGTGACAGACCAAAGATGTCTGCCCCAGTCTGCAGCACACAAGTACACAAGACCCGACAACATCCCATAGGACAGGTGGTCAGCCGGGTACACAGCCAGTGCATCCCTAGCATGAAAGACCCTGGGAAACCAAGCGCTCACCAGCCCCTCCTGAAAGAAGTGTGTACTGGCAAACCCCTGCCAAGCAGGGGGTGAAAACCCAATTCTGCTCTGTAGGAGCTCTACAAGAATGATGGGTGGTGAGTGCCACCTCTATTCAAGAGCAGAGCTACAAATAGCAGCCAGGTGACTGCTGCTTTCAGAACACAAGTAAATGTTACAAAACCTGTCAAAGTAAAAATAACCTAAAGCAACCAAAATTGGGAGGTGGGTGGAGGGGAGGTGGGCGTGTACCTACTAAGAATGCTTCTGAGCATCAACCCATGGCCTCAAAAATAGAAATGTGATTTTTATAAAAAGGCATAAAAACTCTGCGCTTTAATGGTTTTTGTTCTCTTTCCCCCACCCTCCTTTAAGGATTAATATCTCTTGTGATGAGCTGAAATTATCTAGAGTCTATCTATTCCTCCATTTTGTTTCATCTTCTTTCTCTTAAATTCTAGTGAAAACTTAATCTCTTAAATTTCATCCTTTTCATTATGAAATAGGAAATCTGGCCTGGCCATATTTGTATAAAATTATTTTTATCTCTCTTTACATTTACCCCTCCATTCATCTATCTACCTCTTCATCCAGTCATTTTTCTTCTGTATATACAGATGGGGCAACCTAGAGTGATGTTCACAAATGGTAGCTAAGCCTGGGCCTTGGCTATGGGGAAATTTATTGCTTTGTATATGTATCCTCTGTGTGTCTGCGCACATGCGTGCCACCAATGGGGCTTGAAATCAGGGCTAAGGATGTCCCTTAGTTTTTTTTGCTCAAGATGGCACGCTACCAGTTGAGCCATACTTCAACTTTTGGCTTTTTGGTGGTTAATTAGAGATAAGAGTCTTACAGACTTCTGCCCAGATTGGCTTCAAACCTTGATCCTCATATTTTACCTTTCTGAGTAGTTAGGATTGCAGGTGTGAGCCACCAGTACCCCAGTTATATGTCATTTTCCAAAAAGTGAGTCTAATGTCATTAAAAAGTCCCTTTTTGAGAGCCCGCTGTGTGCCTGACATTATGATGCTAGGGGCCAGGAGCACCAATTTCCCCTCTTGCAGGAGAAAGGGTGTCACAAGCCATGCTGGAACTAGCATTACCAGCTCCAACCCAATTCAGCCCATGGTCAGGGCTCTCCGACTACTAAAGTCAAGAAGGAAGGTCCATTTCCATGGGTGGTACTGGCTGGACTCTGTGAACTGGTTCCGTGGGATGAGACTTTGAGGGGTTGGATTGGACGGGAGGGGAGTGAGCTTTTGCTCTGGCTCATCATCTAGCCTTGGTGTTACTCCACAGTCCTCATCTCTTTCCAGTGACCCATCTGTGGGAGCCCTCCAACACTACCTATGTACCAGTGCTGCCAAGATCCATCACTGGCCTCTGCCATTCTCCTGGCAGTAGATCCTCACAGGGAATCAGCCTGCTCTACCTCCTCTCCATTATATTCTTGTCCTGGTTAACATCTCCACCCTTCACCTGAGCCAGAAACTAGAACCTGTAGCCCCCTCTTCCTCCCTCCTCCATTGCCCTGTACACCCCTCTCTCTCGCAGTCCTATCTAGGTGCAGGCACTCTCCCTCTCTCCCTCTGCTCACCTCCTTCCCAGTGCTGTGCTCACTTGGACAGGCTGACCTCTCCTAGTGTCTTAGATCAAGTCTCACCCGTGCAGCCTGCAGAGGCCAAAGCAATCTGTCTCA